ATATAAGAAACATCTATTGTTTGTCAAATCCTCATCAGAAATGGTCTCTGTGGATGAAAGGTGGCAGTCAAGAAGCCCTTCTTAATTAAGGCAAACAGAGAAAAAAGGCTGAGGTATGCCAAATTGCACAACAACCTAACAGAAAATGAGGGGCAAATTTGAGATTTTTAGTTTCATCTGTTGTACGGAGGTGGCCAAACTGCTGTAGAGTGAGTGTTTACAGCAATCTATGAGGCACGGCGGAGGTATTTTCAGGGTGTGAGGCTCTATTTCAGCCAATAGTATTGGGGATCTTATCAAAATTGATGAAATTATGACTGCAGAAAAATACCATCAGATTTTGATTCATCAGATTTTGATCAATTATCTAATACCATCTGGAAAGCATCTGATTATGCTTTACTGCACTGTAAATGCAGTAAAACCATACCTGGATAGAAAAATACAACATGGAGCACTATCAGTCATGGAGTCACTTCCCCAGAACCCCGACCTCAATATTACTGAAACAGTTTGGGATCATCTTGATCGAGAACATCCAAAAATGAACTTTGACCTTTGTCCTTCAAGATGCCTGTAGAACTATTCCAGAGGACGAGTAATAGAAATTAGAAGAAATTTTCCCCAATTGAATTCTGGCTGTGTCAAAGCATAAAGGTGGCCGTAGCAACTTGCTGACATTCAAGTTTGGAAGAACTGCACAAACTCTGTTTTTTGTTTATTTGTTTGTCTATATATTGTATTTCCAAGCATTTTTGCACATATTCCAATAAATCACTGTTTTCCATTTTCCTAGCAAAACATTAAAATGAACAGGTGCCTTGAGACTTTTGCACCACACTGCAGAACCACATTGTTTATTTCACATAACTGTTTTCTGCTTATTTTGTGTTTTTCCTTTCTCGTTTCACTGGTTTGCACTTACCCAGATTCAGCAAACATGTAAAACCACATTCTCATGACAGCTGGTGGACTGTTCAGTAGACGTTAACCAAATCTGATCGAATCACACTTAGTCTTAAACTGTTCTATGTTTTACAATATTATATTTGTATAAAGGTTCTGTAGGTGCTCACCCTGCAGTGTATAACAACCACATGTAGCGGATCAGCATTAAGCCAGCTCTCCATGGCCTTACAAATGGTGCAGATCTTATCCAAAGGTGGAGCATGCAGGTCAGGCCAACCTGTATCCAGGGTCTAAAAACAACACCATTAGACACACACACACTCACTATCTCTCACAACCACAAGACTCTATGCTTTACAAATCAATAATATCTTGCTCACATTAGCTCACTAGCCTGAGTTAATCAAGTAGACTGACAGAGGTGTACAGTTGCGCTATTTGAAGTAAATGCCAGATGCCTTACCTTTGGGTTCATTCTAGAGAGATCTTGTCTTTTCTCTGACAGGTTGATGATCTAAAGAAAACATAACACAACAAAGCACAAGTCTTAAAATGTTGTCTCTAAGATTTCAACATTCTTCCTTAACAAGAGTTCTTACAAATGCATGAAATCACTCTGAGATCAAGTCAACATTACATCAAAGCCCACCACCTTTCAACACTTTCAACACAGTTACAGCACTTTTCCAGGGGAAAGCAGCAAATGGACCAACACTGACCAGGTAATTGTCTGCATGCTTGGACTTGAGCATACGCGTGACATCCTTCAGGTTGTGTGAGTAGATCTCCTCGGAGCACCCCCGGGGGAAGGACACAGCTATGATACGTTCTGTGATATACGTAAGGTCGAGTTCGTATCCCTCCTCCATTATGAATCTTTGGCTTTCCTGTTAAAAAATATCCAAGCAGAGACACAAGAGGAAAAAGCCCTTCAGTCTCACAGCACTGCAGGTGACTCAAGTCAATATTTGACGCTCAAAGTCCTCAGCTTGTGTCATTGTGTACATGTTCTCATAGATAACTTTAGGGAGTGACTTCAATGCCAGATTGTATGACACAGCATACTGTGTTTACACAGCAACGGTCAGCAGTGTGTGCCACAGATACTATACTCTCTTAGACAATACAACATATCACAATCTTTTTAACCTTTTGAGCACGACAGATAATTAACTTCTCTGGACTGCAAAAAGACACACAGGAGAAGACTGGACATGAGCAATCTAGGAGCCGCAGTCAGTGATCCACAGCAACAATGACAAAGACAAAGAAAACTTTCAAAGAACTCCGGTTGAAACCAGTTTCTGTAAATCCCTGAGTGACGGCGTGTCCCTGTGACCTCATGGCCATGAACTTCCTGCTATGGTGGTCTAGGAAGAGCCAGTCTCCCACTGCTACTCAACACATCCCACAGACTCTTCTCTTGCTCTCTTATATCGGTATCTTAGTACGGCCTCTTTGTCACTTTGTACAGCTCAGCAGCGAGAGAGTAGCAAGTTGTTGCCAATTGACCTCATAGTCATAAGTTAGTGTGGAAAACCTAAATCTAGCTTGGTTATGGAATTCTGTCTCCTGCTTGTGACAAAAAAATTTCAAATTAAAAGGGAGTAAAATCGTTCCAAAAATCACGTTTTTGATTAATTAAAGTCTTCAATTCTTAAGCTTTGTTTCTTTCGTTCTTCATGTGCTCTTACATTCCAAATTAAAGCCAGTACTGATCTGTCTTTCAATTTAATTTCCTATCGATGGAAGAGTTAATTAACTAAGATTTGAGATATAGATTTTTTTTCTTTTTCGAAAACTGTGTTATGTTAAATTTTATAAACAGAAAACTGTCTGTAAATGAAACCAAATCCCAGGTTAAGAAATGATTTATACTCCTGTCTTGCATTTGTAGGAGACTACTGTTCAACAGAATCTGAATCTTTTTTTTTTTCTCAAATATTAAATTTTTCACAAGCACACTCACAAAAACAGAAGCACATTGCTAAAACTGCCAAAGATATCATCATCGCTCTTCTTGACTGAACCCGGTTGTTTGTTGTGATTAAACGACCCTGTCGAGAATGCGTCCATTAATTAACTCTGAGACGACTGCAGGCTACAGCCCATCACTTTGAACGGGCACAGTGAGGGAGCCATAAATCAGGGACAGTGTAGCCATGGCTTAAATGAACCCTCAGAGCGGAATGAAAGAGGCCATGTGAAGAGGTCATCACTGGTACGGACTGTGCTGTGTTTTTGTGAGTGTGTGTGTTGGTGGAGGAGGCGCTCAGGTCCTCAGGTCATTGAAGCTAATGACCGGGTTAGTTTATTTCCCTAGTGACTTTAAGGAAAAACTGTTGACTAATGGGAAATTAATGAACAGAAAGGCCAGGACTTAGGCTCTGCGTCAAGGGCATGGCAATGGGAAGAAGGCCCCGTAATATTTTGAAAGTGTCAAAGTACTGTGCTAACTGTGTGGAAAAGGTATCAACTTAACCAAAGAATGATACTGGCTCAATTTTCTGCAAGAAGCAGTATAATTGTATTTTAAAACATAACTCTAACGTGTTCCCTTCTTCTTTAGAGACATAACTTTTAAGTTCATAAAGTAAAAAAAAAAAATGAAGCTTTAGTCTGGCTTTGTTCAAAAGTTAAAAAAAAATAAAAATCTGCACATTTTCCAACAAAAAACTAATAAATTTTTAATTATACCACCAAATTGAATAAGACTAAACAGAGTGAAAAAGGAAAGGTTTCCACCCAGTTCAAATGGGCAGAACCCATCTTTAAAGATGTGTAAATGTAGCCAGTATCTAAAAATGAAATAAAGTAGTATTTGATTTTTCATATGAAACATTCATGTGCAGTGGCACTGCAGTAATCAGCATTTTCCTCTCACTTCTCCCACCCTTCACTCAGTCCACCGAGAGCAGCTTGCCCCAGCACGCACTAAAGATAATTGGTCTTTAATTTGCACTGACTGCTTTTGTTCCTGGTTTGAGGCACAGCATTAGCTCACAAAGACAGAATAAGCAGTACCAAGGAACTCAAATCCAGAGCCCACCCATGGCACTGTGAGAGCAAGGCTGGTAGAGGAGTGCGGGAGACGGAGAGAGATTCGAGGTTGCCAGGTTTTACGGTGAACAAGCTGCAACAGGTTTACTAAGGTCAGGATGTTGGGGGATTAGGGTGTGTCTGGCTCCCCAAGCTCCAACCCTTGCAGGTAGGTGCTTGACTAGGCTGCATTGCTGCTGTCAGCCACGTTCACACACGCATGACCATCACTTAGGACTCATTCCAAATGCCTTTCTTACCTGGAACCTTGCTGAAAATGAATTAATCAAACATTCCTTTATGAGTAATGAAATGTTGAGGAGAGTACGGTGAAGCGTGCTGGGATGAAGGCCTCTTTAATGGGCCACACCCGTCACCTGGCCACCAGATGGAATCTTCCACTCTGCACGAGCAGGTGAACCATGAGATAAAAGAAGCGGCATCGTGGAATAGGGCATAAAAAACAAATGAGGACCGTCTTTGTATCCAGACATGGGCAAGCCCTGTGGGTTAAATCACAGCCTGATCATGTGAGCAATGACCTCATGGCTGTTTATTTTTAAGTCTATTGTGGTAACAAGAGTTGGCAAAAACTTTACATACTTGTCACTCACAAATAATAAGACTCTGCAGAGCCTCGGCAACTAAACTGATTTATGTGCAACATTGTGATTAAGCTGTCTACAGCATCCCTAACTGGATTTTCCATTAGTGAATTTAATATGTAATGTAATATGTGCACAAACTAGCAGAAGAAATAGGCTTGTTGAGATTAAAGAAAGAAAAATGTAATTTTCAAGTTTAGGGTGAATGCTGCATATTATTTTTTTTCTGAAAACATCACTGCTACAATGACAAATAAACCCTAAGCTTTAAAATATGTGCAGGATATGCAATTTTCTGAACTAACCAATGCATTATTTTCTTGCTCGTAAAATCCTATTGAAAATATGACACATTTGCATTACAAGCCATTATTAGAATCCAAAACAAATCGGTATTACCTAACTAAATTCCCCAATGCATAATCAAGCGGATAGCTTGCAAATCACTAAGAAACAAGATGAGACGGAGCGAAACAAAAAAAAAAAAAACAGCGCACATATGAAAGCAATCAGGGCATCCCTTCCCCCATTCACACTCCCAAATTGGTTCTGTTGGCTCAAACTTCAGTCCTGTGATTGACATGCTGCGGCAACAGCCTCCATTTTTGAGACCGCTCGAATATTTTCACAGGTCAATTAAACTGAAATGATGGGACTGAAATAAAAAAAAAAAAATCATCAAGCTTGCTTTATCTGGTACAGAGTGAGCGCAGCCTCAGCCAAAGTTGAGGTGATAAACCTCAAAACTTCCCAGCACGCAGAAGTCCTCTGTTAAACACCTATGGAAAAAGCAGGTACACATGCATAACACTGCTGTCTCTTTGGGAGAATTTGGAAAGATTAACAGCCTTCGAAGCTGTTGTCTGCAAACCTGAGTAACACCTAAAGTGCCATAAAATGCTTCAGGAAGTCTGGCTGCCTGCAGGCTGCTGCCAGACAAAAATGTTTTCCTACACTGCATTTAGCTTTAATTCTTTCTTTGCCCTCTCCAGCAAGCAGAACCCATTTGTTTTTTTTCTCCCTCTGTCGTGTGCCTGGAGTCCCCTGATAACATTTAGCGATTACATCTAATGATGGTATCTAATAACTCTGATACCATCAGCTTCACCATTCGAAAACCGCCATGTATTCATACTTGGCGTGAGTGTGGCACCATGCTGTGGAATAACATGCTCACAGAGACATGACAGGCTTTAAGAGCCCAGAGAAGGACAAGGCCACAGTTTGTTCTGGCCTTTTCCTGTCAGGGGCTCAGTATGTTTATGCTGTGGCTTTGACACCCATTCACTGCTGAAGGACTGAAATAAACAAGCCCTGAGAACTATTGAAAAAAGCCACAGACGTGGATGCAGAGTATTTTTAGTACGTTTATTTTGTAACTCTGGAACTCTAGCATGTATTTGTCTCACATTTTCACGAGGCATTTTGAAGGAAATAAAAATGACAACCCTGGCTCTGAGCAAATCTGTGCACCCAGAAGGCTCCTAAAGCAGTCCCTAATTACCATTTTCAATCCCAGGGTCAGCGTGGAATGTGCTCCAGAATGGATTACGTTAGCACTCTCCCTTTTTCTATCCCCGCCACCATCTCTTTCTCTTTAAAACAATTTTTGCCACTTTATTGCTTTCATACTCCAGGTCTCCTCTCTGTTTAATGACTTGCACATGTACAGAGAGTGGTGCTGTGACAAAATGAAATGCCCCACTGCTCTGTCTCCTGCTGGGATCACAGTGTTCTGCTTACAGTACACAGTCCCAACCCTCTGCCAACCCACCTGTCCAAACGACACTATCAGGATCCCCATTCATGTGTTGCTCTGCCAGCCCTTTCTAAGTGCCTCCTATTACCAGTCATGCAAAATAATAATAATAATAACTCTTTGTGTTTCTGACTCATTTCTTTTCGCCTGGAGGGTTAGATATTAGTCATGCAACTCTAAATTAAACCAAATCTTGGAAGAGTTCAGCCTGTAAAATGCTCACAACAACTCACAAACTAGTTGCAAGAGGGTGTAAACGCAGGAAGACGTAGACTCTGTACCTGCTATCATGTAAGGACACTAGTGCATGTCATCAACAAAGGCTGCCGGAGAATCATAGCCTTAAGGCTGCACATACCATGCAGCAGCTCTAGCTCAAAAGACAGACAGAAAGAAAAAAGACAAACTTTCTTAATCAGTCATGTCTCTCGAATACTTGTTCACGAGTACAACACCCCAAACAGAAAGGTAGGCCCTATCTCTGTTGAAGCTTTCTGGACTACTGGACGCAAGTCCTCCATAGTCCCATATGTTTCACATTATAAAAGGTCTTCAGTAGACCATAGCCCACAACAGCAAGGAACCCCAAATTATAGCTATTGCAGAATACAATCCACTGGGGTAAACGTTTAAAAGCTAAAAAGACTACTAAGCCTGACTTTAGGAAGTTTCAGTAAAAGGCATTTAAATAGTTCTATTTAAAAACATGATGTAAAAGTAAAGACATTAAAACAATATGATCAGAATGAATGACTCGCTTGCCTGTTTCCAGAATTTTTACACCAGAGCGCGCACACACGCACGCACACCCTGTCTCTAGCCAAAGTAAATACAAAGCATTGCCCTATTTTACTCTGTGGACGACCTCACTGCAGTGTGACTGTTGAAAAGTTCTCCACAGAGTGGAAGTCTCATCCCGCTTTTTAAAGCGCTGACCAGCCCCAGTTACAACTCTTGTCTTCTTCTGGCGAACTGTTTCGGGCAACATGCCTTACCTTTTTAAAGTGAAAGCGACGACTTGGTTTTTTTTCTTCTTTTCCTCCTTTTTTTTTAAGTAAGTTTAAGCTGTAGAAAGAAAAGGAATATGATAAAGTCCGGAGTCTCAAAGAGCCCTCAGCCGTCAAACAGGCTTACTGCGGGCTGGGAGGCTCATTTTCCTCTGCTGGAATGCGCTCTCTGGCTATTCGGAGTTTGCTTGGACCCAGGGGCTCCTTTCGCTCCTTTCTGTCACTGCTGGTAATAAAATCAAATCTTGCTCGTATCCTGAAAAAAAAAAAGGGAATAGCTGCTGCTGCTATTTCTCCTATGCCTCCAAAACACTTCCTCTAGTCCAGGCTACCGCTGCAGCCGCCACAAGTCCTGGCATGGGATAGTCCTCCTACCGCTCCGCCGTGGGTGTCTGCCTTCTTCCCTCCCCTTTCAACCTACCTCCCCTCGCTTTGGCCTCCTCCCTCTGCCCCCTTCCATTTGTTTGTTCTCACCCTCACTACTCATACACAGACTTTAACTTCCTGCCACCCCACACCCACATAATCACCTTTCATATGGCTGCTGTACAAGTAAATACATATTCATGACATAATGAAATATATAATTGTAAGAAATTATAACCTACCGTTTAAAACCTTTAATATATAAGTAAGTTTAAATTAGGCCACAACTTTTTAAGGTTTCATAAATGCACATTTTATTTCCTCAGTAGTTCAAAGGTGTATTACGAATATTCAAACCGTCATTTTTTTTTATTTATTTATTTTTTAGAATAGTCACTTTATTACATTAACATAGACCGAGTTCAAATTACACATATTATAAGGATCTCCAGTGGTCCAAATCAACCTCCTTCAGAAGGTAAATCTTGGGTCTTTCATGATATCTTATGCAATGTTTTTTTATTTATGTAGTTTATTAACAGATATTTCAAGCCACCATCAATCAACTGAAGAGTAAAACTTCACTCTCAATCTGTGTAAGATCAAAGGTAATATAGTGAGTTGCATTTAAACAGGGATCCCAGAACAACTTTAGCATTACAATCAGAGTCATCCTTATAAACAATGCTGTCTAGCTAGCTTCTCCTATGCAACAGCTAATTTAAATGAACCAGGACAAAAAGGCATGTAAAATTCTGTAACAACTTTATTTTGATAGCGGGCAACAGCATTTTAGTAGCAACAATTTTCTACAGTTACAATGTAAAATATGTTGTATTGCAATGTAAAACATATATTGCTAAGCCTCAGGATTTCCAATTAACAACAAAAAAAATGTTCTTTCAATAATGCATGAATTAACCGGTCATGTTCACACAACACAACAAAAGCAAAATTTATTCAGAGGTCACGTTAAAGACAAAATCAACAGGCATTTATTATATATTGCTATAAAAAGTCATCATGTAGTAAAATGAACTGAAATAAGGTTATATCTACTAAAAATCTATTGTGATAAAGGTGTAAATAGCACTCAGCATCTAATATTGAAACTTATCATTACAACCTGCAAACAAAAAAA